GGTGAATCTCACAAAGCCTGTCAAGAGCACCTCCGGGTCATATTTCATCTCAAAATCATAAGAAATATCGAGTCAATTATTAATTTACAAAATATCAACTATTTCAGAATTATAGCATTGTTATTTTTTGACATTTAACATGAATTTCCAGTCAAATTGTCTTGAAAAAGACCTAATGAATACAAAATTAATGTTTTAGTGCAAGTCAAACACAGGAAATTCTATGCAAATTATGTTATTGCACTTTCGCAATTACTCAGCTTGTAAAACCAGTCTGACAAGATCTTACGTACAAATACGCATGCAACAGATTCTTGTGGGGTGAGAGAGCCGATGTGTGAAACAACTTACTGAAACCACAACAGACTATTAGGGACCGTGTTAACAATGACAAAACATGCATACAATATTTAAGACATGTGAGATTCAGTAGAAAATGCGTCACTGTTAAAACAAACACACACACACATTTTTCCAATTTCAATGAGCTCATACAAAAGACTTCTACTGACCTGATCTAAAGCTAACTGAACTCAAACTCTATGCACCTAAAAGTTTTTATTTTAGAGTTCCAAAACATTATTTGAGTCTTTCCTACTTAAGTTAGCTAATTAACCACACATACGTTTACTTGGCTATCTAAAAGGGGACATTACATAGACTTCTATTGTTTTTATATACAGATAGTTATACACTTTTTTACCTAAACTTTCTGCATTTTTACAATTAAAAAAAAAACTGTTTACTTTATTCTTTTTTTAAATTTTTTTTTTACCAGTTTTACAAATGAGGACGTCCCCAAATGGAGGTTTTTGGCGATTTTGTCACGTTTTGCACACTTTTGAGTACAAATTTGTCCCCAAAATATGGTTAAGTAGGTACACACACACACACACACACACACACACACAGAGTTACACTGTATATTCAGAGCCAACTGACCCATGAAAGACAGACTGCTGGATACACAGACAAGTTAGAACTACTAAAACTAAAATAGTCTTACTGATAAAAATTGAACATGATACATGATCTGATGATCTAAAAACAGAACTGAGAACTACAGAGAGTGAAAGGCATTCAGTCTGAATGAGGAATTGATGATGATTGATCAGTATGTTTATATTATTCATAAACTTGAGCATCTCCAAAGTGATTCATATGACAGACTCATCACACACTAAATCAACAGCTCAACAGTCTGACAGGACACTGATTAAAATACCAAACTTCAGCTTCTGAAGAAAATGTCCTCATCTCAGAATTCACTTCCTAGTTCAGAAGCATCAATAAAGCAGAGCCTAAACCAAAACCAGCACTTAACCTATGACCAGACCAGAGGTTAAACTATTACTAAACCGGCGTTGGAGTTTAGAGCGAGCAGTTCTTTCAATGACAGTGTTACACTGTATCATCACTTCGCCAGGGAAGTTGAAAAAGAAAGAAACGATACAATGTAACATTTGATGCGACTGTCGCTCGAGCAAATAAAGATGCTGAATCCGCCAAAACACACCGTATAGAAACACATCCACATCAAATTGCCTACAGCTTGACATATGAGGTTTGTTATGATCGATTTAATCTGTGTGATCTTACTTGGATGGACCGCTGATCTTCTCTTCCTTGACTTGCCCGTTTAACTTTCCCTTCTGTTGTCCGAAACGACTTATGTCTAACCCCAAACCTTCATGTAAACGCGTCTTCACTCTCCACGAGCTCTCTTTTCCTCCGATCCATGCTCGTTTGCGGATGAGCTGATGTGTGATCTGGCTGCTTTGATCTACCGCCGTAATCCCGCAGGGTTCCTCAAGCTCCTCTATTGCAATAATCACAAGAAACAGAGCGCCGCGCACTCGCCGTAAATCCGCGCTGGAACACCGCGCTGCGCTGGTAAGAATGCGTAGCTCTCGTTCAGAATCCGGATTTCTGAAACTCGTTTCCCAAAATGCCTTGTGTGTTATCGGAGAGAGAGATACATTCTCATTGAACCGCAAATGTTGTCGGCCTGTGAGTGTTTCCTAGGAGACGCACGGGTTTATTTGTACAGGGGGCGCTCGGCGGCCCAGAAACCTGAATCCTCATTGAGCCGCATTTAAATCCCACGACGCTTTTTATTTATTGAAAATATTTGGTTGATGAAAAAAATGCATATTTGTAAATCTACGAGTTACAAAGATTCATAACAGAAATGCAAATCACAATCTGCCTCAACAGTGTTTATAAAATTATTATTATTTTTTAAATTCTCAATCAGCCAACACAATCAACTGTGATTGGTCCATCTTGATTAGCGCTGAGAAAAGTAACAGGAATCAGGTGATGTACCTATGAAAATATTTTACACACGAATAAAGACAGTCATGTATTTTAATGGTCGTTGAATTGAAATAAACCGTGAAAAGTTAAAACAGGATAACAGGTATCGTGCTTGAATAATTATAGACAACCTCTAGGCCTCTGAGCTTCACTATTTTTCCAGTCTTTCATTCTATTTCTACGAGAGAGAAACTCCCGGATGTGAGTAAATCGAGTCGAGTTTCTCCACAAACTGAACTAAAACCGAAACTGAGCCTGTGGTAAATTACATAAGGATGATAAGAAATAACTAAATATATTTAAATATTAAATAAATGTGACGTGATCGTTTAAAAATGAAACTCACAGGCGGCGTGTATTGTTATTGGTGGTTAATAACTTACATGTAGGCCCACATTATATTTTCACTACAAAATGCAAAGCAGTGACTTGAGGCGCCGCTGTTATTTTGATGGTGATTAGCGTCATCTAGCGGAAGAACGACAGCACTGTTGAAGAGCAGATATTAAATGTGTCAGAATATCGGATGGAACATGAATAAAAACGTTCCAAGTGTTCCATCTAGTGGTTAACAGTGGAAGTTCTGAGAAAATGATGTTCTTTACCCTGTTAATGGTTTCAAGCAGTTCTTATTACAGCAAGCATAGATAGAATTATAATGAGCTATTATAAACATATCCTAAGGCTTATTTGCATGTTGAAAGAAAGATAAAATAAAAAAACATATAATGGATTAAATATGGTTTAGAGATGTTAAAAATCCTCAGTTTAAATGAGTATGATTATATTAGAATTAAACATTTATTAGTAATAGAGTCATAGAATAATAACATAATTCAGATGCGTTTGGTGCAGTGATCCTTCAAAGCTCTGGTAGCAGGACTTTGTACTAATCCAGCGGCCAATTGCATAAATCAGAATCAGAATCAGAATCAGAAAGAGCTTTATTGCCAAG